GATTTGAAGTTCCCGGGCTTCATTCGCATAAACTGGGCGCCACCATTTTTAAATCCCTGCTCGTTCGAACCCCGTGCCGCGCGGCTACACGCGGCACGAACTAGGTAGTTCAGACTAGGCTTCCTACTCCGAACTACCTAGTTTGTGCCGCATGTAGCCGCGCGGCACGGGGTTCGAACGAGCAGGGATTTAAAAATGGCGGCGCCCAGTTTATGCGAATGAAGCCCGGGAAATTCAAATCCCGGGCTTCATTTGCAAGTGCGGTATGCCTACATTACCCTCCTAGTTCGAACTAGGAGGGTAGTGTAGACATACCCTTCCTGATAAGAGCAAGCTTGGCCTTACAGTTTAAGTGCAGAACTAGAACCCAGGAGATTTGAATTTTAACCTGTGTTTTGTCCCCAACTTTCTCTGCAACCATGGGCATATCACTTACACACTCTGTGCCACTGTTTCCTTTCTATAAAAGGGGAAGAGTACTGCTTGCTACTTCAGGGAGGTCCAAAGCTAATTCATTTAACATCTGTAAAGTTCTTTGAAATCCTTGGGTGGAAAGTGCTATGGAAGTATAAATTATTGTTGTAATAGCTTTCCATTACATTGTGCAAGAGGTTTGGACCTGTAAACAATTCCTTTCCATTAGATATGTTAATACTCGTATAATTGGTTGTCATAGCCTTTAGACATTACCATTTGTGGAAGTTACACATTATTTAGATTAGGATTTTCAGAAGCCCTCGTCATCAATCTAATTCTTTCCCTGTTGAAGTCAATGGTAAAACTTCCATTGATATAAATAAGCATGGAGTTTGACCAGTGCTAAGTGCTTCTGAAAATTACTGCCCTTAGTTCTCTCTCAATCTTTCCTCATAAATTAATCCATCTAACCCCTTAATCACTGTCACTTTTTGAATTCCACATGTCTCTTGTAATAAAGAGCCTAGATATGGGCACAGTAGGTCAGAGTCTCAATTGGTATAAACCAGTGAAGTCACCCGAGCTGTGCCAATTTATGCTAGCTAAAAAGCAATCTCATAAGTGCTTAGTGCTTTCTAGCACGATGCATCAATTAATCTAACTCTAAAGAGCATTAACCTTTTTTTGTTAACACATAGCAGTGGACATAGTTAGCTGTTCACAATCCCAGCTAATTTGCATTATAGTGCTGCTTTTCAAGAGATTGCTTCCTATAAAATGTTTCAGATTTTTTCCTGTTAATATATTTGTCCAAGTTGAATTTCTTTTTATTTTCTATTTTTTGTACTTTATCCATTCTTACGTATCTAGCTATCAGCAACTGTTGTGACTGCATGAGTGTCTAGATATGGAACGCTGAGTATTTTATCTGTTTTTGCAGGTGTTGCTTCACAATTTTATATCACTTGCAAATTCTATTCACGGCCAATGAAAGTACTAAAGGTGAAACTGAGGACATATTTATTTAATAGACTAGAAGATTTACCCGGCATTGCTCAGGTCCTTAACTCAATTAATTTTTGTTTTTCTGTATTTTAAATCATTGCTCTGTGGTGAGGCTGGGGATGAGGGTTCTCCAGGGACAGAGGACTACCCCGCCTGCCCTCACCGCAGCAGCTTGGGGGCTAGGTGAGAAGCATGCCTCAGCATAGCTGCTACAGCTCCCACAGGTACAGCCGGAAGAGGGTTGCATGTCCCCCAGCTAGGGCAGATCCAGGTTCATCTGCCCCTTGCACTTCCCAGCCAGAGTGAGGAATGCAGCAAACTGTGCACGTCCCCTCACTCCCTGACAAAGGGGAACAGACAACAATGTTGCGCTTGGGGGCTAGGTGAGAAGCATGCCTCAGCATAGCTGCTACAGCTCCCACAGGTACAGCCGGAAGAGGGTTGCATGTCCCCCAGCTAGGGCAGATCCAGGTTCATCTGCCCCTTGCACTTCCCAGCCAGAGTGAGGAATGCAGCAAACTGTGCACGTCCCCTCACTCCCTGACAAAGGGGAACAGACAACAATGTTGCCATATGAATCGGCATAAAGAGTGCCTTGAGGTAAGAGGCAGTCCTGGGGGGGTGGGGTGCCCCAGCCGGCCCCTTTCCTCTGTCTGGTGATTCAGTTTTTCTATGTGACTTTCTGAAAAGCAATCCCATTCCAGGCATATCCAATTTTCCTGGCACAACCCTGACCTTGCTTTAAGTTATGATAAGAGGAAGCTGCATATGGAATTTGGTGGGCCCAGCTCTTACCGTTTAGGATGAGTTCTTGTACAGACACTCTCTCAAATATATAGTAGATAGATATAGCAAATATGCCGCTACCTGCTAGTAAAGAAGTCCCATTTCACAGCTCTGGCAAAATTGAGTAGGCTACAATACACAGGTGTGAGACCCTAGAGTAGGGATGGGCAATAATTTTTGACCGGGGGCCACTTCAGAAATTTTTGAAGTGGTACCAGGCTGCCCTGGAAGGGGCGGGACCTCAGGTGGAAGCAGAGGGGCCAGGACACTTCCTTGGCTTCCCCACCCACAGACCCTGATTGGTCTGGGGATGGAGGACCGTGCAAAGTCTTTAACCCCCCCCCTCCAGCTGAGAGAACTGCCAGCTGTTCTGAACAGCTGGCGGTTCCCTCTAAATGCCCATGCCCCTGGCAGTGGGAGGAGACTTTGCGAGCTTCCCTCCTGCCCCCAGGTCAATCAGGGCCAGAGGAGGGGAAGCACGTGAAGTCTCTTGCTCTCTGCCCCCTCCCTGTAAGGGAGCACCGCGCTTAGTCAACCACCAGCTGAGCAGCAGCTGGCGGTTGACTTTAACTGCTGAGCCCCTTGCAGGGTGTGGGGAGACTTCACACGCTTCCCCTACCCCCAAACCCTGGTTAGTCCGGGGAGCAGGGGGAGCGGGCAGAATCGCCTCTTGCCCTGCCCCCATCCTGCAAGGCTTCTAAGCACCACACATTTCTTGCAGGGTGGGAGGAGACTTTGTGCGCTTCCCGTCGCCTCCAGGCCCTGATAGGCCAGGGAAGTGGCAGGGCCTCTGCCAGCTGGATCAACTTGTTTGGCAGGCTCAATTTACTGGTTGATGACCACTGGTATAGAATGCACATCTGTGCATTGCATATACTTGCATAGTGATGTATGCTCACACAGTACTGTGCATGTGTATAAACTATGGTTACATCTGATTAAAAGAAAAGTGATTAATTTATAACAAGGAGTGTGGGGCCAAAAAAAGCTTTGGTATTTATTCCCCCCCCCCCCCC